CGCGCACGCACACACACACACACACACACACACACACAATTTGTGTATGGTACAAAGTTACTGTACTGTATGAAACATCAAACATATTTGCCTCTGCAGTATCATCCCATCACCTTCTTTGTATTCATGAAATCCCGATAGCAATTCCTTCTTTCCTTCCTTCCTCCCTCTGCATCTAGAATATGCACCGCTCACCTCTACTCACACATCCCTGTCAGTAGCATTCATGGCTCTGTCACCAACTCCTGATACAACACTTGGCAGAGCCAAGAGCAAAATAAATGTGCCAAATAAAGACAGGTTTAGGATTCCCAGGAACTATGCTGTTGTATTTATCATTTTGCTCTTCCTGTGATCCTCATGCCCATTTCTCCTACCCTGCCCTTTTAGGGCAAGGTAGAGAACCTTTATTCTTCCAAGCCCCCTTTGGATACTATAACATTATTCACAGGTCATTCAAAACTATTAATACAGGCAGACAGGCTGAGAGCAGCTGACAAGAAGCATACATGTCTGCCTTATCATGTACCAAATTATTATGAGGGCCTTATATTGCCAGAGGGCTAGATATTCCCCATCCTTGCTTCACAGAAACACACCTCCTTTTTGGTAACCTCATGGCTACTGAAGTTGTTGACTTTAGAAAGAAGCACTGGCATGTTCACATGGCCACTACCCCTGTATTACTCACCAGCTGATGACAACTATTTCACTTTATTCCTAAGGCTTCTTGGATAGGCCTCAGTCCTTTCTACAGGTGGACAGAAGGCCTCATTAGCACAGCAAGCAGCTTTTCCATCAGAGATTTTTATATATAGATGAAGCCATAGGTTAGGAACCTCTCAGAAAGCAAGATCCAGCCAAAATCCACACTATCTCTCTGTCCACAGGAGTATGACTGAGCTTTCAAGATGGGTTTTCAAGAATAGTAGGAACTTTATATTTTAAATTCTAATGACCACGCTAGCTACTCTAAGAAAACAAATGGCAAATCCTTGCACAAAGTAGATATCTGGCTCAAGTTCAACTCTGGGAGAAATATGAATTTTCATATATCAAGCTTACATTAATAATGACAAAACAAGAGCTATTATTTATCTATTTACTGCAAGCTATTAAGAGCATGACAGCATGATCAAAGCTTTAAACACATTTCCTTCTTTATCATCACTCCATGAGGTAAAAATGTTTATTATTTCTATTCTCCAGAGAGAAAACCAAGTCTAAGAGAAAGGGCTGGGATTAATACCCCAGACCTCCGCATAACCAATCACGATTGTTTCTCTGTCGTTTTACTATTTAGGCTGCTTTCTCCTCTGAGGGGTTCACAGACATTTACTTGCCCAGAGAAAGCCTTGGAGGATAACCTCAAAGGCTGAAATTTTTCTCTGCAATGTACATGTTGAAAGGAAAGCAACCTCCAACAACTTACCTTTCAAACATACATCTCTACATTAAAAGAGAAAACTGAGATTTAAGAAAAATATGTGGGAATAGCTCAGGAGTGTTTATGACTACAAGTCCACAAATGTATTTTCAATATCTTACTAGTGGTCAGGCAGTATGCTGGGTGCTGAATTATCAGACTGTCAATGGGGAGAATGCCCAGGGACAGAGAGGTTGAAGGGAAGAACTTCTCACACGGTGACTGTATCAGAAATGTTTAGCCAATAATTTACAAAACTGTTATGTCATATCGAATTAAGTAGAAATCATCTTTCACACAGAAAAGGTGAGAGCTACATGCTTTTATTATCTGTAAATACATAAATGAAGAACTGTATGTCTTCTAAAAGCAAAGTTTCATGTAATTCACCTAATTCGTGTATATTTCTGATACCTTATACTAGAGAGTTAGATGGTAAGATCTGTGAATATCAAAACCATGTAAGATTTTGTTCTTAGGAATCTGAAAAAAACAAATGAGAGAAGAGTAATGAGAGCCAAAACAAGACTAATTCCCAAAATAGAAACAGAACATGTTGCAGTTGCTTCTAAACACAAATAGAGATGAGAATACAAAAGCATCTCTTTCGGCATTCCTCCAAATATTCATAGGAAGGAGGCTAGAATAAGGACATGAAGTAGAAGACAGCAGACCCTGAAAAGGTCATATACTGTCTGTAAAGCCTTCTTACAGGAAAAGCTGCTTTTGACAAAAGGTTATGAAAGGAAGACTTTCTCTTTTATAAACTGAAAGAAATTTGATAATTTACAAAGTCTTTGCAGCTCTACTACCTTAGGTTCTTTTCTTCTTTCATGCATTTTTTTCTTATTAAATCACATTTCAGAGCATGTTTTATTAATCTGTCCAAAATAGGTACTTTTACATTTATGAATTTTCTCTCAAAAAATCTCTCTTGTACCTAAAGAAAGATAAGCATATAAGATAGGCTCACAAAAACATTTGTTAAATTAATTTAAAAAATTATGACCTTACTTTAAAAAGACTTTAGCCCAGCATTGGTGGCTTATACCTGTAATCATAGCTGCTCAGGAGGCCGAGATCTGAGAATCAAAGTACAAAGCCCATTTGAGCAGAAAAGTCTGTGACATTCTTATCTCCAATTAACTAGCAAAAAGCTGAAAGTAGAAGTGTGTCTCAAGTGAAAAAGTCAAGCCAGAGCAAAAGGCCCCGAGTTTCAGCCCAAGTATCCATCAAAAGAAAAAGATGAGGAGGAGGAGGGGAGACAAAAAAAGGGAGACAATAATAGGAAGAGAGAGGGGGAAAGAAAGAGGCAGAGAGAGGACAGGAATAGAGAGGGAGAAAAAAAAGATGTCATGACAACTGGTCCTAATCTATGGCCTACATCCAACAAATTAAGAGAAAAACCATTATCAAAATAGCTACATATCTCATGTTGGCTGCTGTTCCTGACCTCTAAAATAAAAGGTATCCCACACAAGTGGTTTACGCCTGTAAACCTAGCTACTCAAGAGGTTGAGATCTGTGGATTGTGGTTGGAAGGCAGCTGGGGCAGGAAAAGTCCATGAGACTCTTATCAACACAAAGCCAGAAGTGGAGCTGAGGCTCAAGTGGTAGATCTTTATCCTTGATCTAACAAGCACAAAAGCTCAGGGGTAGACCCCGTCCCTGAGTAAAAGCCCCAAGATCAGCTCACAAAAAAAGTAATATAAAGATATATAAATATACCATTTGTGAAACCTCCACAATATGCCAAGAATTATGTCAAGTATTTGCCCTTAGACTGAAATGATCTAAATAGTTTTTGCAACAGATATAAAGGAAAGACTGAATTTTGTAAATGGAATTGCTTCTCACCTCAGTAAGATAGAGACATTTTCTAAGTAGAAACTGATATGCAGAAAGGATTAATTCTAGTACTTCTACTCACTAACTGGATCGTCTTGAACAAGTGCTTTTGATTTTGATCTTTGCTTTTGATTTCTAATCTATAAAGTTGATATATAAATGGTTTGATCATTTTAAATGATTAAATTACAATAACTATATGTAATATGCATTGGATAAAGTATATATCACATTTCATGATTAGCTGTAAAACTATATTCCCAAGCTTTCTCTAATTTAAAATGATATGATACAGTATTTTTTAAAGAAATCATGTGAACAGACTCTTAATTTAAGTTGTCAAGTATTAGCTGCTTATAAGCATGTACATTCCCTAATACTTGGAACATACAATTACATTATCCAGTAATATTTATTCCAAGCATATGCAATATAAATGTAAAAAACCTCAAAATCTTTACTAAATATTTCCCTTTAGTCCCAGCTCGAGGCAGATGGACAAAGGCTACTAGCCAAAATACAGGTGTACATGGGAGTTGTAGTTCGAGGTGAGAGGCAGCCTCCATGGATCCTCCAGAAGTGAAACTTCATCTCCCAGGAGACACTTCGCCTCCCTACATAGCACGCTGGGAAGTGAAGTATCTGACTTCAGAGAAGCGTACTATCAGACCGCTACGATATAAGTGGAGAACTACAACTCCCAGAGGCCTCCGCTCCTCCGGTTGCTGGCCTTAAGATGGAGCCAAGAGGAAAAGCAACATTGAACTTTAACCGTAGATGTGAGTGCGGTTGCTTTTGGCACTCCCGTGGTTAGTGCCTTTCTAAAACAACCCCACCAGTATTTCCTGCTGATCCGCAACACATGTCTGAAAAACCCAGAATCATAAGTGCAGTTAAGTCTGCAAATGGCAAACATTACTGTGCATGACGTGAACTTAACGTTCGGCTTCAGGCAGCATCCTTGGGCCACCTGAGCGCACAGCTTTCAAAGGGGCTATTTGCTTTGGGTGTTGTTTGTTTTTCCCCTGGTTTAGCGCTGTGAGAGCTGGCCTGAGTCCACACAGCAAGGGCAGATATTTTGATTTATAGGGGGAAGTTGCAACTGTAAGTCAAGTTCCCCCTAAAGTTTCCTCTCACCTGCAGGTTGTTTCCCTAAACTTTCACACGGGGATCTACCTGAAAAAATAGCAGCGTATGCAACTCAGTATCAGCTGCAGCAGCAATAATAATAATAATAATTTCTCAAACAGGGAACCGCTGAGCCCCGCTACCACCGATGACCCGGTGTGCTTTTACATATCAAGTGCAGCTCCATCACGAGGGATTTGCCTCGGTCAGCCTCACTTGGTTCCTGCACCTGTTCCAACCTGCAGTTCGGAACGGCTGGGGCAGGGACTGCTACTACTTGTCTGAAACTGAAGGCGCCGGGACCCAGGACCGGCTGCTCGGACCTCCTGCCTCAACTTCCCCACTTCTAAAAGGAAGGATGAGAGGGTCAGGGCGAGGGCCGGTGCTGAAGAACTGAGACTGCCGAGTCCCAACCCCGAGCCGTCTGCAGAGCGCGAGAGTCCGGGAGACCGAGCCGAGCCTCCCCGCGGGGAGACGCACCGGCCCCGGCCCGCCCGCCCCGTCTCGCCGGGCCGCGCCAGCAGACGCGCTGGGACACCCCGAAGACCCGCAACCCAGACACGCTGTTCCACTGGGGCTTCACTCCCCGCGCCCCTACCTTCCAAGATCTTGGCAGCTGGGAATGAAAGGCGGAGGAGGGGAGCGCGGGACACGAGCGCCGCCCAAGCGAGTGCCCACTAGGGTGGCGCCGCCTGAGGGACAGGGGAGCGGAGGGCAAAAAGTGCCTCAACCGAACCGAACGCGGGGAGACTACAATTCCCAGCAGGCCCCGCGGTAGGGGCGGGGCACAGAGGGTGGCTCGTCAACGGACAGCAGCAGCGACCAATAGGAGCTGAGAACGCGCCTACACCAGGCTAATCAGAATACAAAGGAACAACAACAATTCCCATTTTTCTTGCAGCTGGTGAGCGGCTGAGGTAAAAATCTCTTTAGAAAGGGTTTTTTTTTTTGTCATGAATTCACACACACGTGGCGTTTTCCGACCCACCAATGGAACGTGATTCATTCCTTGCCGTCAAAAGCTGCGCTTCTCTTGTCCCTAACGAGTCCCTCTGGCTGGATGTCCTTAACCTATTCTGGACCTTTCTTGGTTCCTTGGGATTGCTATCTTTATCTTTCTCGCAGAACTTTCACACGGTGCTTTCCTCGATTCCCTTTTCAGTGCTGTTTGCTCAATAGCATTGTTACTGCCCAAACACTGCATAAAGTTCACCTATTTATCTATTCTACTATTTCGGTGGTCTTATTAGCATGCACATTCCATGCAGATGAGGATTTTTTTTTTAATTTTGGTGCAGTATTTTTAAGCACCTATAAAAGTACCTGGCACACACAAAGGTTTTTGTATAATTGGGTGAAATCTAAAGGTGGCCTTTCTATTTTCCTCTCCTCTCTGACCACCACTGGGGCCTTGCACCTGACCTCTTTTTTAATTCAAAATCATAGTTGTCATGGATGCTGGAGAAATCACTGGTTCCGAAGCGGTTCCTACTCCCAACATGCACCAGGTCTGATGATAATGGTTAACAAATTTCAGAGCAGCTAAATAATTATCCTAGCATCATATAACTCCTAAAGAGACCAGAATCCTGGCTGTAGACTCTTGTGGCTACACAATAACTATTTCTTTTAGATACTTTTCTTCTTATAGATGCTTCCTTGTTTCCCCGCCCCCCACCTCCCGACACAGTTCTAATTCAAAGAAGAAAATATATTTCCCAAGAACTCATTTACATTTTAAAAGGAAAAGAAGAGCAATGGCACATAGACAAATACTGAGATAATGTCTCTAATTCTCTCTTTAAAAATGTCCTCTATCTCCCTTCTTCCCTCTCTCTCTCTTCCTCCCTACTCTCTCTCCCTTTCTCTCTCTCCCACCTTTCTTCTCTCTCTCCCACCCTCTCTCCCTCCCCCTTCTCTCCCTTTCTTTCTTTGGCCTGACTCATTACATGCAGGTGATTACACCAAGTCTTAGATCTTTCATCCTTTCTGATGTTTGAACCCCACAGAGAGTAGCAGGGTGTCCTACAAAACATCCTGGTGTGAAATATGGATGCTCTCAGAAGCTTCACTCTCAGAATGTCTCACTGGATTACAGTCAGATTATAGCTACTACACAGAGATACTAGGAACACACAAAATATTAGAGAATATGGATACAAGATGAAATTGAAAACAATTACAGTTAAAACAGCAGGAATGTGATCAATATACAGACTAATTTTGTGCCCAGGGATTAAAACCCCACTTCAGGCTTCCTAGCCTAATCTTCCGTCAATTTGGAGCCCTTTCCTATAACACACAGCTTCTAGCTTTTATGAGCATGGACTTAGCCTTCACAATGTTCCTGAAGCTGACCAGCATGAGATATTTTAAAATATGTGTCAGCAGCTAGATTAAATGTGGAAGAAAATCAGTGGACCATATGAAACTGGAAAGCTCAGCACCTAGACTCTCCAGAGAAAGTATTAGCTTACAACTATTACATCTATTTTTTAACAGAAATATCATAAATACTGTCAGGATCTAAACAGTGGGTATCTATCTAATGATTAAGGGCAGTCTAATAATGAATGTATATGTATTCCTTCAGCTGTAAATATTACTGATTGCTGGGCAGATGGCTAATTGGGACATTCACAAAGAGCATTAAGAATAGCACTCTCCTTGGGCCAAGGTCCTTCAAGTACCCAAGACAGTCAATGGAGAGGTTACCATGTAATCCATGACTTGACTGAGGAATCATCTTAGATTGGGTTTTCTAACAAGCAGGTACTGAGACATATATTCAACTGCAAGTAGGTTGTTTTGTAAGTAATTGCAGGAAGCACCAAGAAGAGGATAGGAAAGTGAAAAGGGAAAGTAAAAAAGGCAAAAAAAAATGGTATCATGTCTAGCACATTACAAATAGAGACAAATATAAATTAATCCTCTATGTGATCTCTGTGAAGCAATATGGGATACATACCTTAGAATGGAACTGAGCTATGTCACTCGGAAGACAAAAGAACTGGGTAGTCTAAATGCTGTCTTATCAGCTGATGGAAGCTGCTTTCAGAGGATATTAAGGCCCTGAGTTCTCACAGAAAGTTAGAAATAGATGTACTGTCACTGGGAGTAGGGGAATAGAAGGAACTGACAGGGCACCAATAGAATCTGCTACAAATGGCACACTCATGTCACTGGGGCTAGCAGAATGAGAATAGCTGAAAAATGTAGTAGGCACATTAAAAAAAAGTCTGGGGGTGGGGGATGGGAAGGGATGGGAAGGGGAAACAAAGGAGGAGGCTGCAATGCTTGATAAGAAATGTACTCATTATCTTGCCCATGTAATTGTAACCCCTCTGTATGGTATTTTCACAATTAAAAAAAAAAGTCCAAGCTGCTTACTACCTTGTGTCATTATCACATGAACAATTAAAATGCTACTTTCTAAACCATTAAGACATACAAAACAAACAACAACAAAAGCCTCATTTACATTGGAAGCAGGACTCTCTGGACTTAAGGAATGGCCTGGGAATGGGTACAGAAAGTGGGAAGAGGGTCAAGAAGAGTTTGCAAAAATAATATTTCTGGAGTCAATGTCTTTATTCTATGACCTTGAAGGCATATAAGTAAATGGCTTAGATTGTTTTTAGAAAGTAGCAGAAAGATCTAAGTAATCCCAAACCTAGGAAGACAAATTTGTGAAAACCTTTAAGTTGTACCACTGTAGCACTTCATAGCTAATGGCTTTTCTTTATTACAGTTACCATTTTCTGTGTTTTTGTGGTTATACCCTGCTTCTTTCAGATGAAAAGCAAGCTCCATGAAGACAAGAGCTTAGTTTTTACCTTTTCCCAAAGTAGGTATTCAATAAATATATGTCAGTGAACAACTGTATTATGGCCAGCATGGCACAATAAACCAGAAAGCAGAGTATTAGAAGAGCCTGACATTTTTACTGCTTATAACATCTCTACTAAGTCATAATGTAACTTACAACAGAGAGCCTCACAATAACCTCCCATATCATAAGGTGAACAAACAACCTTATGTGTGAAAACATGGTGGTTCTGCTTGAGTTAATATCCATGCAGCACCCTCTCCAAGCACATAGGACATGCATGAGATTCTTTACTTTGTAAACCCACTTCAAAACTAGAATGGCCTCAGTGGCAAAGAGTTCAACCCTCTGCAAAATTCATCTTAGCCATGTGTTATTGTTCATAAACTAGATTTTAAGATAAGCACCTTCAGGGGATTTACTTGAAAAAGAAAATCATATGTGATAGATTTTTTATATTGGAAAAAAGGAAAAGCGATACATTGTTACTCCTAATACAAAGTATAGAAGAGTTAAGGAAGTGCTGTGTCTAAATAAAGATTTCTCAGCCTGCAATTTTTGAGATTTTTGGCTTTGGTTAGAAAATTCTGCTTGCTAATAAAAGCAAGAGCCATCTTGTGATACCCTAAAAAAAAAAATTCTAAATTTCCCTCATCTCTCTTTTTTCTTCTTTCATCTTATTTATCTCTTTGTTGTTCTGTGTTGAACATCTTCCTTGGGTAGATTTGTTCATCAGATATTTAGAGATCAGTCTATTCCCCATAGTTAGGGAACATATGCATGCTGTCTCCTTTTAACTATGCCTCATAAATAATCACACTTAATCCTTCTTACTGCCGTCTTTTGCAATCATCTTCCAGTTACCTAGAACATAAGGTGCATAAAACTAATCTCAGTGTCCAAGCTGTGATCTCACTAGGGTAGCTCAGAGATAAGCGATGATTTTCCATCACTCCCTTTCAAGATATTATGCCTCTAAACACATTGTCCTGGTTTCACCGCACTTTAAAGGCATTTCATCATTCTAGAAGATAAGACCCATTAAAGCATTTCCTAAAAATTAAAAAACTATATTTCTTTAGTAGACAACTTAAGGTAGAACAGTATACAGTTTTTACTCAGATCAGTTTCCATAGGTTGAGGTCTACTCTTTGCCAGTTGCTGTGCTAGGGTTGTGATATACCAAGTAAGAGTGGTCTCTGGAGTTGTATTGTAGTGAGTACAGCACTACTAACCATAAGCATGTACGCAGGTAAACTAATCAGTGTGATGCCACAGTGAATTAATGTCAGAATGAATTGATTCTGCCACAGAAAGAGTATTCCAGGCATAGAAGCCGAGTTCACACAGTATAGATTCTTTAGCCTATTACATAGAAGTAGGAATTCTTCCAGCCTCTTTTCTGAGGGTCAGCTCATGAAGGTTTCAGAAGCATATTTCTTGGTTTGCCTTCCAGTCAACTGGAAGCCTTGTAACTATACAATTAATCATTCTATTTGGATACAAAAAGAAGAAAATTGTATTTATTTACTATGGCCATTGCTTAGGGTATGGAGATATAGTCATGAGTAAATCTTTTTTAAAAAGTCATGCTTGTGGGATACCTAGTAGAGAAAACAGAACATGCATGAATATAAAAACTCATAAATAAATCATAAGTGTTGATAAAGGCTAGACTGAAAGAGCAGAGTAAGGAACTAGAAGACATTCCATATGAACAAAGGCTCCTTTGAAGGAGTGTCATTTAATGAAGTAATGGGACCAGCCAATAAGGGAATCCATGGGGAAATGTTCCAGACAGGGGTAAGTGTGGATCCCAAAGTACAAACAAGTTTGGCATGGTGGAAGAACAATCAGGAGGTCTGTGTGGCTGAGAAGAAAATGAATAGGAGACAAAG